CGCCGCGTGGTCCACCCCCGCTAGCGGGCGGCGTGCTTACGCCGTAGCCGTAGGTTGCCGGTAGCTAGCTGTCGTTAGCTGTCTGTAGCCCTAGCGACCTGAGCTCAGGCACCCTAGGCAGCCGGAAAAAGGTCCGTCGAAAAAAAAAGAAAAAAGGTTGCGGGTCCGAGGTGGCAGCGTGGTGAACGCGACAGCTTCGGCTTGCAGCCCAACTTTTTCTTGCCAGTTGGATCGTGGTTGGTTTTGTTGATCCATGCTAGCGAGAGTGAGGCAACCTGCTGACTAGTGGCATGTTTGGTCGAGGTTTGTTCGACATTGGCCGGGAGGTTGCCTGCCATGGCCATACCCGAACCGCGAACCCTTGTGAAGCCGCCAGCACCCAGTGTGTTGGATAAAGGCTATGCTTTAAAAAAGGTGAGCACGAATATCAACCCGACGCTATAGCGTTGTGGTTACCACCACCGTGTGTGGGGCAGGGGCAGTCACTGCCTCGGTGCAGGACTTTCAGCAACCGCTGACTTTTGTTATGTGCATTGCAACGGGGGCACGTTTGGACGAGGCAGCCATTCTTTACACCGGAGATGAGCAGCCTGCCCCGATGGCAATATTCCGTAGTTGAACACGGCTTGCAGACCCAACTAGATATTATGAGTTTCTTGCTGGCTGCCGCGGCATTCTTCTGGACTGCAACTCTAGGGCACGCAAGGTGAGGCACCAGGACGAGGAGACGCTGATTTATACAACGATGAGCATGGGTGATATGTGCTCACACCCAGTGCAGCATTGTGACATTGTGTGCTCGCTGATTGCTCCTGGTTTGTTCTCCTGGTAATGTGCAGTTTGATCGAACTGTTGTGTGCGTTTTGAAGAGCCACGTGGCAGGTTTTAAAGCAGATGTCCAAGCGCAAGTCCTCGGACCAGCGCGTTTTCGCACTTCTGGGCGGCGGCCCTGCATCTCTGGCTGCCGCAGAAACGCTGCGCCAGGAGCTACACCTGGGCAAGGTTTTTCCATCGGTTGATTCAGCTAATTTGAAACATGTTCTAATGTGATCAGTTCATTTTTGTGCCGGGATGCGCAATAAAAGCATGACTGTGATGCTTGTTAATAGGACCACTTGGAGGGCTTTGAGGATGCATATTCGATCTGTGTTTTGCACAGCCGCCTTTATAATGCCTCTTACATACACAGCATTGTAACACCAATGGTTCTGATTGGTGTTACGTTTTATCAATATGTTTACTCCTGTTGTGATGAACATTGTGGTGAATTGATTTTTGTTTGCATGTTAGTGTTCGTATACCTGCAAAATCACATTTGGAGGTGTCCACGTGCATTGCTATGCCTTGTATGCTTGTATGTGTAAGAACGACCGCAAGAGCCGACATCGAATTGTGCCAGCTCTGCAGACAGGAAGGCTTCACCGGTCGCATTGTCATGGTCACCCGGGAGCCGCATCTACCGTATGACTCTTTGGTATAAGTGTGCCTGCAATGAGTGACGGGCTTTCTGCTAAAATTTCAGTTCTGTTGAATGCTAGCTCACCATAGCCTGTCAGCCCAGGACCGAGTACAGCTTTCCAAAGCGCTGGACAAGCCAGCAGCCAAACCGAGTTTACGACATTGGTCTTCAAGGATGCTTCAGGGTGTCTAAGGAGTCGGTGCAGCGTGAAGGTTGGTGGGATCCGTGCAGGAGCTTGACCGATGTACGGGTTCTTGGCTTGTTTGTGGTGTACTGCGAGGGTAACGTGCTATGTTTAGCTGATAAGGTAGAAAAGCTGCTGCTTCGACCAGAAAGCTTCTACAAGGACTGCATGATCAAAGGTTGGTACCTGGACAACGCTTGCAACCTTGATTGGAGACGCTGCCAACACCAACACACGGTCTTGCTTTCACATCATTGAATGACCATGTTGCCAGGATTACGACATTGAGGTCGTTCGAAACGCTTCCGTCACCAAGCTGGACACCAAATCGCAGAACGTGCACTATACCAACGGCGATGCTCAAAAGGATCGTGTTTGCTTGCCAGTATCGATTCGCACAGATGCCCCAGCAGCATGTCTTGCTGCGTGCATCCCCTGCGATAGTTCCCTTCACCGTGTGCAACCAGGAAACGCTCCACTACGACAAAGTTCTGGTTGCCACGGGGGGTACCCCCCGGAAGCTTTTCGTACCCGGCTCCGACATGAAGAACATCTTCACGTTGAGGCTGCGTTTCTTCCCATTGTCAGGGACATTCAGTGACCGTCGCACGTTTACACGCATCATTGCTTCACCGCTAAAGCCATGACTCGAAAGACAGACGCAGGGCTGGAGGCTGTGCAATTGTGGCCTTGTGTATCAGGACTCCCGAAGATGCGGCGAAGATCGCGCAGTTGGCCAAAAAGGGGCAGAAGATGATTGTGGTAGGCGGGCGTGTTTCAGCGTGTCAGGGCTGCTAGCTGAACATGGGACGAATCATGCAAGCCATGACGCTTCAGATGCGTTGTTGCCTGATGAAGGGTGGCGCAGGCAACAGGCAAATGTTTCTAAGCTGCCGGACGGTTCTGTGTGCGTGACATGTTGTGGGATGTTGTATGATGTCCAAGTCTTGCAGCCCAGTGGTTCGCACTAGCACTCGCTAGCTAGCAGGAGGAGACTTCTGCATCGGCTGGATTGGCAAAAAAAGGGTTCAGACAACACAACTGCTCCTGTTTATGGTCGTGCTGTCTTAGTTCCAAGCTTCCAGGTGGGTCTTTCATCGGCATGGAGGTGGCTTCTTCCTTGGCCAAGAAGGGCTGCGATGTGGCAGTGATCGCCATGGAGTCGGTGCCCTTTGAGCGTGTGCTGGGCAAGAGCCAGGGCTGAAGGACTAACCCCTAAACCTTAAACCCTATAACCCCTAAGCCCTATAACCCCTTAGCCCTAAACCCTATAACCCCTAAATGCCTAAACCCTTTAGCCCCAAATCCTGAACGTTCGGAGTCTGGCATCTTCACAAGCGATTTAGAAGAAGTGTTCGGGACCAGGCAGGGCATAGAATGGGCCATAAAGCCCCGTCTGTGTAGCAGCATGTTTGCTGCGATATTTCGTGGGGCCGTAGATCGGATCGAAACCCCCAGAAATGTTCCATTCGCCGGGTTCCCAATAGAACAGGAGAAAAGGCTGAAGCAGCTGCGGACCCGAAAAATTAAATTCTACTATAAGCCATATCCGCCTAGGCTCCTAGACCAGCCCTAAGCCTAAACCCTAAACCCTAGACCCTAAACCCTAAACCCTAAACCCTAAACCCTAAACCCTAAACCCTATAAACCCTAAGCCCAAAGACCCTTGCCCCAAACCCTGCGCCCTGAACCCTAAAAGGAAAGTCGGTGCATCTTTCGCCCGGAAGCTCCAGAAGGAAGGGGTGGAGTGGCAGCTTGGCATCGACGGTTTTCCTGTGACAAGGCCGTTTGGGTCGAGGTCTTCGGGCTTAGGGTTATAGGGTTTAGGGTTCAGGGTTTAGGGCGGTTTAGGGGGTCATCAAAAAGAACTCCGGGGCTTTCCGCAGGGGTCGGTGTTTGCAATTTCATCCTGCCGCGCTTGCCCGGCCAGCGGAATTTGGTCAAACCATGTGCTGCAGGTTTTTGCAGGTCAGTACGTGTAATTTCACAGATCAAGTCGACCGATTTTGTCTGTGTCAAATCAATACTTGAAGATTCGTCAGACTTAGTATCTAGGATTGTACATAATGCAACGATACCATAAGCAGTTTGCACCCAACTCAAAGGCTTGAAACCTTACGTATTAAGTCCCGTGAATCTCCAAAAATAATCTTCTAGAGCCCTTCTTATTACCCGTCTAGAAACCTTATAAAACCCTTTAAGGAGCCCTTCAAGCTACTAAGTCCCTAAGCCCTAAACCCTAAACCCATCAAAGGTTTGGCACGTCGCAAGTTCGCCTCTTCCGTGGCAACGAAGCTGTGAACGGTGTGGAGCTCGAAGATGGAGAGGCTGGGTTATTGAAGCTAGAGAAGGGTGTAGGGTTTAGGGTTTAGGGTTCAGGTTGCCGAAGAGCCCTCGGATCGGGTTTAGGGTTTAGGGTTTAGGGTTTAGGGTTTAGGGTTTAGGGTTTAGGGTTCAGGCAGTCATCAAGCGGTTTCAGTTCAGGGTTTAGGGTTCAGGGTTCAGGGTTCAGGCAGTCATCAAGCGGTTTCAAAAAGGTTCAGGGTTTAGGGTTCAGCTTGGAGGCACTTCCGAGAGACCTCGTTCAAAAGGGTTGGGGGTTTGGGGTTTAGGGTTCAGGGTGTCGGGTTTAGATCCTAAGCCACTGTCACGAGTACAGTGCTAGCTGGCGGACGAGTGGCTAACTACCAAGCCTTCTTGCTTGCAAGCCTGCAGCAAAAGGGTTTAGGATCTTCGTTTGCTGCAAGCAAGATACACGTGTCTTCTGCTCCCTAAACCCTAAACTCTAAACCCTAAACCCTAAACCCTAAGCCCTAAGCCCTAAACCCTAAACCCTAACAGCGCAGCGGCGCTCCATGTCAAGTCCCACAGTTAGTACGGGCCGCCCGAAGCTCTAGCCCTGTGGGGTGCCCTTTTATCATCTTGGAAGGCTTCGTTCCGAAGGCCCAGAATCCTCCCCGCAAAAGCCCGAATCCCTGCCTACGAAAGCCCGAAACACTCCCCAAGAAAGGCTCCACTACTCGAGTCCTTCCCACGAAAGCCCGAATCCCCACGAAAGAGCAACCTTCCCACGAAAGCCCAAAGTCCCGCCCCACGAAAGCCCAAATCCTTCCCACGAAAGCTTGAATCCCAACGAAAGCCCCAAATCCTTCCCACGAAAGCCTGAATCCCACGAAAGCCCCAAATCCGCCCCACCACAATCCTATTTCCCGAAGCCTGAAATCTTCTCCAGGAAAGCTTAAAATCCTGCCTACGAAAGCCAGCCTTTTCCACGAAAGACCAAACTCCTCCCCACGAAAGCCCGAATCCACGACAGCTTGAATCCCCAGGAACGCCCAAATCCTCCACAGAAACATAGTAGTCGAAATAATTTTGCTTGGCTGGTGCTGGCTGATTCAAAGTTTAAGTAAACTTGCTAGAATTTAGATTGACGTTGCTTCTGATAATGAAGACAACAAAATGCGCGCTGGCGCATGCGCAGCCCCTAAAAGTGCTGCAAGCGAGATGCAGGTCTTCTGCTTTTTGGGTTTGTGCCTGTTTTCTCGACTTTGGTGTTAGCGGAGGCATTGGGCATGTTAGTGAGTCTTCACGTCTATGCTCGTCCCGACTGAATCTCCGATGCTATGGAACCCTAAACCCTAAACCCCTAAACCCCTAAACCCCTAAACCCCTAAACCCTAAACCCTAAACCCTAAACCCTAAACCCAGCCAGCCTTAGATCGCGGTCTCCAGATCCGAGTCTCCAACTCCTTCAACAAGCTAGCTTGTCGTTTCAGCAATGGCTGGAAGGATGCCACAGGCCGTAGTACTTCCCTGAAATATCCCAGGAGTTTGCCACTCAGTGAACTATGAGTTCAGTATGCAAAACCTGAGCCCCAAACCCGAAAGCTTGAAACCCTAAACTTTCTTCAGGTGCTTCCCGCCGATGCGGTGGTAGTGGGTGCTGGTGTGTTGCCGAACACCCGTTTCGTCGAGGGCTTGTCGCTGGACCGCTTGCTCATCTTTTGGAAGTTCCGGGGTTCACATCTAAGTACATGCAATATACTGTAGAATCCATAGAGATCTGAATAATGTCCAATTTTGTTCCGCAGGGTTCCATAATATGATATACTTCTACTATAACATACCCCTAAACCTTATTCCAATCTTTCGGGTGCCTAAGTTTCCTGTGCCAGTCCCTTGTATCGAGTGTTAGGATTTCACGGGGCCTTAGTGCCGCGCAAGGTCTGCAGAAGAAGACCCACTGGGATGGTTTTGAAAAAAGTACTTTTGCCAGTGCGTTGGCAGATTTTCTGAACACGCTTTTTTACTGTACCATGCTCGCCACGTTCCGTGATCCTTCAAGTGGTCAGGCATGGCAACGGCACGGCTCCCCGGGATGAATGGGCAACTTTCTCGTCTCTGCAGTCATTGCCGACAGGACAAAAACGGAGCCATCGTCGTGAACCCGCTGTTGCAGGCCGGTGCGCAACTGTGCTTCATGTCAGCCTCTTCCAGACGCAAGAAGTCTGAACACGTATATGCTGCTACTTAGTACTGCTTTTCGTTTCAGTTCCTCAATTTCATCATGTATACAAGTATATGCGCACATATAGATATAGATACACATACATATAACAAGATACACCACCACTTTGTCATAATCAGTAAGGCCCCTGTAGAATATCCCGTCTCCGACACTGTCGACCGGGTTTGAGGTCATAGGCCGAGCCCCTCATATAGCAGATTTTTGAAATCGAATAAGGCTTCGGGGTATATAAATATAGTACTGAACCTCAGGGAAGACTATTCTATGATACAATTGTATGACCTATTCATACTAAAGCTATAATACTGGATCTTAGCGAACGCAAGGTTCTATTCTGAAATTACATAAATACAAGAGCTATAAACATACAAATGCTATGCTAATAAACCTTAGGCAGTGCAATTCTCTTCTAAATTGTTACGGCCCGGTAAACCTTAAACCCTAAACCTTATACCTTCAACCTCGCACCCTAAGCCCTAAACCCTAAACCCCACACCCTAAACCCTAAGCCTTAAGCCCATACAAAAAGTCTCGAAAGAAGGCGTTTTGAGGGTTTCTTCTTATGTTTATAGTATACAATACCACAAAACCTTATGCGAATTCTTAAGGCTTCCGAGGGCAGGGAGATGGTCAACGGTTCTAGCGGGTTCAGCCACTCCGAGGCTCCTCTCTTAAGGAAAAAACTTGGTTTAGGGTTGAGGGTTTAGGGTTTAGGGTTCAGGGTTTAGCGTGTAGGGTTTACGGTTTAGGGCTTTAGGGCTGCGCTGTATCCTAAAAGACCCTATAGATCTCACGGCCCAGGGTGTTCGGCGTCACGATTTTTGGTATATTCCTTAAATGGGGTTTAGGGTTTAGGGTTTAGGGTTTAGGGTTTAGGGTTTAGGGTTTGGGGTGTTTTGGAATGTCTGGGTCCTTCGACATCCGGAAAAGGCATGTATGAGGTTTGCCGAAAAAAGCGCCAGACAAGTCAAGGTTACACGATACTCAGCCCTAAAGCCTGCCTGGACCCCGCGGAACCTGCCTCTTCGGGGTCATTCTGTATGAATTGGAAGCTCGCACCCTACACCCTAATCCCGAAACCCTAAAACCCTAAAACCCTAAACCCTAAACCCCTAAACCCTAAACTATGCCAGCAGAGGAAGGCATCTCACGGGTTCACGCAAACCCTAAGATAGCTCTGACCCCTTAAGGTGGCTGTAGGATGTAAGCTCCCGGGAACCCCAAAGATTCAAACATATACTTCAAATCACAATAGGGATCCTAGTATAATTTAAGGTATATTCCTTCATTCAGGGATACTGACCATAGAAAAGGGATCTAGGCACCCTCCCTTCGGACCTAGAGGAATTGAGTCTTCACGCTCTCTGTCTGATATTCCTTGTCATGAAGAAGAAAGACCTACCAGAACCTCCGATTTTGGAGTCCCTATAAGTAAGATCCTGCAAAAGGCAGGTTATGGTAGGTTAGGGTAGACTCGTGACTGCGAACCAGGCAGAAGCTTGCGACAACCTCTTTGCAGCTGGTGATGTTTGCGCCTATCCTGCCATTCGCACTGGGCAGCGCGTGCGTACCTGAAACCGCAGACCAGGGCAACCAGCCCCAACCCTCCAGGTACCTACGAAAAAGGGTACTAGAGCCCTAAACCCTAAACCCTAAACCCCTAGGGCCCTATATTCCAGGTACCTGGAGGGTTAGGGCAGGGTCTCTTTTCTCCTGAAGTGAACCCGAAGCCCTAAACCCTCACTTGGCCATCCTTGGCCCGAAAATTTCGGGAACTTTGGGAGTTCTGGCGGTTTAGGGGTTTAGGGGTTTGGGGTGTAAAAGGGGTTTAGGGTTTAGGTTTTTTTTCGGGTTCGGTACATGTGACGAGCCCACGTCTGGGAGCTGGGACGGGGATTTGAGATCCAGGGGTGGTTAACAAAAAGGGTTCAGGGTTTAGGATTTTTGGAGCTTAGGTTCAGGGTTTAGGATTTTTGGGCTTAGGGTTTGGGGTTTAGGGTTGAGGGTTTTCATTCCGGCGAAGAGAGAGGCCCTGGCGTTGAGATAGTCGGGGTCTACACGAATACAAGAAGCTAAGCTTGAACCCCTACATCCGTGCGGGCCCTCGACTTCTTACAGGCTACGGCGCTTTTTTCCTGTGAACCCCGAAAACACTAATACGGATGTGAGTTCAGTTCAGAAACGGATTTGTTGCGTGTGACCCTGCAATACTTTTGCTAGCCCGGGAATTTGCGCAAGCTTCTTGCTGTCCCAGACTCGGCCTGCATCTCTTCTTGCCATAGCGGTATAAACAGAATTGCAGAACAGATGCCGACAAGCCCAGCATCATGAGCATCAGATGCGACAGTCTTCACACCAGGCGCAGCCAGGAAACCCGACAAGCCCAGCATCATGAGCATCAGCTGCGACAGTCTCCACAACAGGCAGCGGCATGCACTCCGGCAACAGCCCAGCATCATGAGCACCAGCTGTGGCAATCACACCAGACGCCGCATGCACCGTGACAAGCCCAGCATCATGAGCATCATGTGGCGACGCCATCCATACTAGACACAGGCAGGCACTCCGGCGAGCCCGGCATCACGAGCATCAGCGGCGACAGTTTCCTTCGGCTCAGCTCTAGCAGGAAGATCTTGAGACACCCGGGCCCTAACCCCAAATCTTGTCCCAGATCTTCCAGTATCCCTCCAAGGAGGAAGGTTTTTTCATCTTATATTAGGGATCCTACGAGGTCCCAGATGCTGCGAGCGCAAACCATTACAGTAGACCCTCCTTTGTGGCTTTCCATCCTAGGCATTGAGCACTGGGACGTCGCGATGCAGCAGGGCCGTGTGGCCGCGCAGAACATGCTCCTAGGTCATTCTTGAAAACAGTGCTTCGGTGGTAGTATAGTTTGTGTTAAAACAGGAAGTTAACAGTTAAACTCTAAAACCTAAACGGTTTTTTTAATATGCGGGTAACCGATTTTCTGCAGATATTCCGACTGGCACTCTGCCTAGTGACTCGCTCAGCATTGCCGGAGGCTAAAATCCTAAACCCTACAGCCCCAAAAACCCAAAAACCCTCAACCCTAAACAC